ATCTTCTTTAAAATAGCAGGCCAAATGGCATTGAAAATTTGTGGAATTAGCCAAGATGATACTAAAATCAATTGTACTTTGTTAGGGCATGAAGGAAATATCTTTTACTGAACAAAGCAAAGAAATATAAATTTTAGCTAAGTCTGCCTTTGTTTCAACTCCTTTCACAAATTGTTTACCAACTGTTACATTAGGAAGCTTTTACAGTATTCTATTGTGGTTTTAACTTGCAACCTTGTTCCCTTGATTCTGGCTTATTTGATAAAACATGCCAATGGTAATTCATTTTTGTTAGCATAAAACCACTGTGAAATTATTCTGTCTCACAGAAGGTGCCCAAAGACCTTTAACTATCTGGGGTCATGGAGTGTTTTCCCTCTACAAATTGTATTTTTGTCATATTCTCCCTGCCTTGGGAATGTAGTACCTCATGATGACCTTTGAGTAGAAAGATTGATTATATGAGGGCACAAAGACTACAATGCGAAGAGTTTGGAGCAAACTGAATAAAACATGTTGAAGGCTTTTCTGCAGCAAAAGAAATGTTGTCCAGAGCATAATGCACAATTACAAGGACATATTGGTTTTGTAGATTTTTAACTTTTAATTCTACCTTGAATTTTTAAAGATATTGAATCATTCTTGCTTGCAGCTGGCAAGCCTCCTAGCTTCAGCCCATATTTATTTTAACAATGCAGACAGAAAACTGAGGATGCACCTCTGGTATAGAAAACTGAGGATGCACCTCTGGTATGGAAAACATATAGAAGAAATCATAATGCATATGAAATAAAACACGTGCTAGTTTCCTAAAAGTGCCAACCACAATATGTAAGTGAGAGAGATATGTATGCTGACTCATATATGTGGGAGATCTCAGCATTAGTTCCTTGTTCCATGTAGTTTCCTAGGACTCATTTCCTCCATTCAGAATCATTGTATAATTAAATTTACTATCTAATTTAGTATATTTACTACATGTACAGATAATTCTTCAATTACAATGATTCTAAAAGCATGGTAGACATTTCTGTCTTGAATATCTATTTGTTTTTCTCCACGGAGACAGACATCATCAATTGTTCACAAATGAGCTCACATATATAGAAGCAGTCTATTTTTAAATATACACAAATTATGCAGCCATTAAAAACCATTCTTGCAGGCTTGGATGTAGCTCAGAGCTTGCACAGCCTATGGAAGAAGGTCTTGGGTTTGCTCTCTAGTATTGCAAAAAGAAAAAAAATGCACCTCATTTTTGTCAATAATTTTTAACAATTGTAAAAAAGAGTCAATATATATATAATAAATATATTTTAAAAGAACAGAATATAATCTGGGTATGGTGGATCATGACTATAATCCCAGCACTCAGGTGGCTGAGGCAGGAAGACAGCAAATTCAAGGCCAGACTGGGCTATATAGTTAGACCCTGTCTCAAAAATCAGAGTACAAAACTGTATACCCATTTTGATATAAATATTGTCAATATAATGTACATATGCACACTTATACATACACACATATATTTTTTATTATATTTAATGTATATTTCACATATAGATATGTATACACATATTTCTGGGGAATGTTAATTTTTATTTATTCATATTTCATATAGTTCTATAAGGAATATTATTTTTAAAAACTCAATCAAAATAAGCATTTTTTTTTAAATCCCTGCAGACTTGTTTAAGCTTCATGAAAAGGTTTCCAATTATTGCACAATCCAAAACAACTTGATGGGTAAAATTGTCCTTTGATGATGCCTCAGTAATTACATCTTTGGAAACAGTCTGAGATGCACTTGTCTTACCCCAAGTTTTGTTCTGTTGAGAACCAATGTAGACCAAGTTGCTGAGGAAGTCTGGTGCTTCAGTGAATACCACCACATGGATTCACAGAACTCAGACTTTTCTTTCAAATGCTAGCTGGTTTCTAATGAAGATTAATATTCTGGCAAAAACTTGTCCATCAGTGCATAGCTACAGTTCTTTATTTCAGTTTATGGAATATGATCATTGACACCCCCACCCAGATTTTACTACTTAACAAAGGTAGTTCTTTCTTTCTAACACATAATTTATTATATATCTTGACCTTTATATTCTTCCCAGCTTTCCAATGCATTATTTTTGTGCACGTACAGTTTGTATTATCCAGGTAGAAGCATCTATATTATTTGCAGAGCCATCTATACCAGTTGGTAGGTACAGAATTTGTCTTTGAATTTATGTTCCCTGATGTTTTATATCTCTCTTGTCTTGCCTTACAACTATTCTTTTTCCCAATCAGAGTTTGACATTTTTTGTGGCAACAACATAGATAGTATCTTTTAGTCTATGGCTAGCACAACTGAAATAATTCAGAACTTTTATTTATTGGAGGTAAAAAATATTAAAAGAATTAATGCAATCTGGAGGAACATATGAGCACAAATTGGGCCAGAACAATATAAGGCAACTGGTTAAACTGAGAGCTTCTTTTAAAAATTAACACAGAAGGCATAATTTATTTGACTAATTAGAGCCCTATTATTAGCTACTTGGTCAACTTGTCTTCCCAGGGAATAGCACAAATAGATGTTTTGTGCAAACAATTATCTCTGAGAAGAATAGAATACTGTTTCAGTAATGAGTGGATTTGTCCTGTGTATTATAAGGTAATAGCTCTCATTAGTGTATCAAATGAACTATCAGTACAAATGTCCGTTTGGTATATTGCTGTATTTCTCTTTAAATTTTAGGCTGTTGGTCCCAGGTACCAGCAGGTTAACACACACTACACTGGCCACTGAAGTCGCTCTGGTGAGGTGCTGCCTTACCATGAACCAGGTGACTGATGGAGCTACTACTTTTAACATGTGGGTACCACAGCTTATTTTCTACAATATTAAAATTGAGAAGGAAGAATGCTTTTCTTTCCTTTCCAAGTAATATCATTTTAGTTACAGCATCTTATTTGTTAAGTAAGAGAAAGCAGAAATTACAGGAAAATAATTTCATATATACCCAAAGAATTCTTTTCTGGAGCCAAATAATAGTTTGGGTACATTTAAACTTCTACATATGCTATAATACACAAAAGAGCAAATGTATGGCAAAATTGTGAAAGTGTTTTTTAAAGGATTTTGTGTGTGGACATATATTAACACCCCTGAGAGCCTACCGTGTGGAAAGAAGAGATTAAATTTAACACTTAAGATTGCTTTTCAGACAAAACCTCTGGGTTTCTAACCTTTCAGAAGTGTGACTGTCTTCCCAGATTAACTCAACTAACTTCAGAAGGAAACCATGGTCCAGCCTTGCTTTTCACAGAAACACATCATTTTACAAGGCTCATTAGTAAATAGTGGTTTCATTCCATCCTGTATCATATATGCAGGTATTTGGAAATTAATTATTATTTCAGACATACTTTCAAACTGTTCCCGTTGTCAAAATATTCACTGTGAAGATGAACAAATTTCAGTACAATTACAGTAAACACTGTTAATACTACTGTATTTAGGTTGCTGTTATTGACTTCCTAACAAATATATATATAGGACTGATAAATTTAGCTAATTTAAATTTTACTCCTTAGCCCATTAGTACAAAATCATCTCCCTAGTTTGACTTATCAGAAACAGAAACTTTAAGCTAAGCTATACTTATTTAAAAATTATTTTCTTAGAGTGAGATGTTATAGAATACACTCTACATAATTTAAACAACCTTTTTATTACAGTTTACGTTCTGCTTCTTTCAGAGTACATTTCCCCCTTTAAAAAGTTTAGATTCTTTGGTTTTTGTAAATACAGTTTGCAGAAGAGTTCTTTGATCTAGACCTAATATAATACATTTTGAAGAATTCCAATAGCAGTTGACAATATCTAAGGTACAAGAAACTTCTATATGTTGCTAATAGAAAAATTCTATTTCTTGTATGCCTTATGTTGTCAGTAGATACATGCTTGCAATAATATTAAGCTTATTCTTAAAAACATATATTTACAAAAAATAACATATATTTAGGCCAAAAAAGACTTGCTAGGATAATATACTTCAACACCTAACACAAAGTGCAATCTTCCAATCTTTCAAACATATGGCAAGAATCCAAGATGCAGGAGAGTAATGTCTCTGTGCCAGTACATGTAGTATATGACATAGCAAGATTAAGCATTTCCAGTTCAAATAAATAGAACAGAGAAAGAACTATGCTTTCAGGAAAAAATACCTCACCAGAGTACATAAAGTATAAATGATCTATTCTTTACTTTTTTCCCCATTGGTGGTACTAAGGATTGAACTCAAGGTCCTGTGCTTCTTAGGCAAAAGCACTACCCCTTGAGCCACACTCCAGTCCTTTTGTTTTTAGTTTGTGTTTCAGATAGGGTCTTCTTTTAACTTTCCTCAGGCTGGTCTCTGTGACCCTTCTACCTCTGCCTCTGGAATAGCTAGGAGTACAGTTATAGGCCATCATTCCCAGTTTGTTTTTCAGGTAGGGTTTAGCTAACTTTTCCCCAGGCTGGCCTCAAATTGTGATTTTCCTGTCTCCACCTCCAGAATAGTGATTCATTTTATCTTGATAAAGGCAGAGAATAGTTACTTACAGAGACAAGATGCAGATTTCTTAATTTCTTGAACTTCAAATATAGTTAATAAACACACCATACAATATAAATGGTAAAGGTCATTAGATTTCAAAAGCAGCCCAATTGTTTTTTACGATTATATTTGCACTTATTTGTATTGCATGAAAAAGTTACAATATTAAAAGAACTAAAACAAAAACAGAAAAACCAAACAGGATTAAATTACAGTAATGAATTTTACTTTCAAGGCCAAGTGCAATAAATGACCATTTCCTCATGAATTATGCATTATATACGAACAATAATAGGGTTTGAGGCTGATATAGAGGGACCTAAAATATCTCACAAACTTCATAATTTCATTGCCTATTTGTACAAGGAATACTTTTATAGACCTACTTACAAAAATAAGCACACATACCCTGGTCTAATACTTCTTCTTCTTCCCGTTTCGGTTGCTGCAGTAAAGCAGTCTTATCTTTGTTCTCTGTTTCTGTAAAAGATCAAAGAAGCTAAGCCTAACTTTGCAGTAGATATTACATACTTTGATTATTGCAATTATGCCATCAACATAAAATCCTATTCAGAATCTGATGTTTATTAGAGTATGAAGAACTTATATGTAGAAATGTTTCAATTCACAACCTTCTCCCACCCCTCCAATACAATAACTAGGTTCATTACTTTTTTGGCAATATATAAATTCATATAAAAGTTTTTAGCAAATTTACTCAAAATTTTTTAAAGATTGCATTTAGAAATTTTTAAAGAAAATTTTGAAGAAAAATTAAGGTGTTTTCTGTAAATATATTAGCATCTTAGTAAATGACTTATTGTTATCTTCTCTCATTAAATCTCCACTACAAAGAAGTAAGAAGTTGCTCTGGCATTTCATTATTGAATTTGTAAAACTCAAGAAGGTCTCAGCATATTTGAAGCAATAAAACAGGATGTGGATTTTGCAATTTTAAACTAAGGAATGACAGTCCATATTACCACTTCGCAGATGAACAATAAGTTAAAGAACAGTTTTGAGAATGTGACCAAAAAAAATAAAACTAGTAATATCAAGAATTGTTCTTTGCTTAAAGAGACCCATTAAGCACATAATTGAGAATACATTTGGAAATGATAACCATTCTCACTGGCAAATTATAGCATGTTTTAGGACATGGCCTAATTAAAAATTCCTAAATTGTATAAAACATAACTGCTGATGGGAGGAATGAGATGGGGAAACTAGAAAACATGAATTAAGTGAAGAAAGGTCTACATTTATGGGATTAGTCCCCAAACTAAATCTGTATTAACATTGGCTGAGATTTTTTTCTTTCACTGTCAAGGGGTCATGTCAGAGAGGAGAGAGAGTATATGAAAGAAAAAGGGAATAAGAATATGTGTGCAGATGCAATTGTATGAATGAAGGAAATAAAGATGATTTGAAATGGTAACCATAGAGTCAAACAAGACACAAAAGAAAACAGAAAATACAAAATCATTTGTTACGTTATGTTCAGCACACAGCTCACCTTTGTGATGTCCATGCATCATAACCACGTCAGACTTCACAGGGATTGGAATGCTGGCCTCTGGCGGAATAGTTCTGAACGTATCTGGAGCCACATTCTGGGTACAGGTCATGAAAGAAACAGCATGCTTGGCTTCCATGTAATACATTATGTATAAGTTGCACATTTCATCACTAGATGTGCCACTGCAGGTGAAAAGAAAGTAGACACAACAAATTAGCCATTCACATAAAACACTTTCTTAGCTCAAGAAAAATGTCACCAGAATATCTGCCAGCAATGGATTCAAATGTGGAAATACTGTGTATTTGTTTTATAGCTTTCCTTAAAACCAATCACAGTTTTCAAACCCATCACAGTTTTCAACACCAAAAACACAATGTAAAGGTATATTTCTACTTGACAGTGGAGTATCAGTTTCTAGTTACTTCATGTATATCACTAAATACTTCAGGTGGAAATGGCAATTAAGTAATTGAGAGATACTTTTTTTCTCTCCTATATCCTTTTATTGTTAAGTTCTCTATTTCCTTAAACCCTTAGATGGGACAGTTACTTTTCTCATAAATTATCTTTATTCATTTAATAGTGTGAAAATTGAGACTACATCAATAGAAGTATCATATATTATTTGCAAGTCTTCAAAAATGGTTTTTCCATTTAACACTAAGAGTCTTGAATCTTGGTTTTAGTTTACTGCCTCCTTTTCATGGTCAGATGGATTAAGTCATGTGCCACGCAAAGACATCATATGTGTTTCCCTAGTATCTAATGTTTCAACAAGACTGCTATAGAAGGGAAGAAAAGAATGCCTTATCAATGATTAAAAATGAAATCAGCACTAATGTATTCTGAGGACTGAGATCTGACAGGGGTAGCCCTAGATACCTGAATACTTTGATACTTTAATATTAAACAGTAGAATGAATATTTCCAACAAAATAAAGTTCCAAGTAACAGAAATAATGTTGAACACCTCATAAAGCACGTTTTCTTCTTCCACAGTTCAATCTTCTTATAGTAAGAAGGAATTGTCTGTACACCTACAGAAGGCTTTTGTATACCAAAGCAGCTCTGGAAAAGGAACATTTCCTTTTGGTTATTAGTTCTGGCAATTTTTAGCAAGCCTGTGCTAATCAAAAACAAGCTATAAGGGTGGACCACCTACTCAAGAGAAATACGTCAGTGTTGATTTTTCTGACCATGTCATGCAGCACTCACTTCCGCTCCCTAGCAACAGTAATGACATCAGCAAGAGAAGGAAAAAAAAATCTTTTCCAAACAGGGACTTGATTTCTCTGCATTTTAGAAATGTATAGTCCCCGTGAGACATCAGGAATGAGTCCCTGCCATGAGAAACTCTGTTTATGCTTTAGAAATCATTTACCTTCTCACACTGAATCTGATATATATCACTATAGTTGACTTTCCGATGAAATATAAGCAATTAGTGAAGTGCAACCCCAAACAAGCACCTGTTCACTACATGTATCTTCATGGTATCAAAATCTAATACCTAAGAATTACATTGTTCCAGTTTTGAAGTTGGTCAGAAATTATGTGCTCTAAAAGGAATGACTGGTGCCTCCTTCCCCCTCAAAATAGCCAGAGCCTCCCACTGTATTTCCCTTCTCCCTATTTAAAAAGAGTAATTATAGGTAAGACAAGAGATCAAGGAAGGAAAAGTAATTTAAGATGTGGCTCTAGCTTAGAGCAGTATGAATTATCTTACAGAGTGTAAAACAAAATAATCATTTAAATATCTCAATAAAAGGAAAAATAATAAATGATAATTCATAAAACTTGCAACCAATTCATGGGCAAATTGTCCCATGTTTTATCTGTTTGGGATATCAATGGCCATCCTTTCATGAGGAAAGGTATATCCATCCACATTATATATAACATGACTAATATTCTAATCTCTTTCCTTATTATTAAAAAGCCACGTCTGAGTGTGGTAGTGCATACCCATAATTCCAGTACTAAGGAAACCAAGGCAGGAGGATTGCAAGTGCAAATTTGAAGCCAGCCTGAAGTACAAAGTAAGAGACCCTGTCTCAAAAAAACAAAAACCAAAGCAAAGCAAAACAAAAACAAACAGAAACAAACACAAAGTAATTATAACTGCTGGTTTAAATGTTGTTGGTTCCCTGGAACAGTGCAGGTTTTCTGTTGCATAAGATTGAAATAATTTATTCTGTAAGTTATCATATTATATTTTATAAAATATGTACAGAGGGAATTCTAGAATTCTTTCAGTCTTCCTAATTTTCTTCTAGAGAATCACTTCCAAAACAACTTAGAAATAAAGTTTTGCTCTTGAAATTCATATGAATGAGTTGAGAAAAAGTTGTTCTGTCACTGAATGTAGAAATATAGGTTTATATGAGTTATTAAATAGAATTCTGTACAGTCAGAGCCTTTAACACATAATATGCTCATTTACAAGAGGGGTGGGTGAGTGGAAATGGTAGGCACTATTCCCCAAATGAATCTGACCTGGTTCCTTTGTGTTGCTACATATTACAGGCCATAATTAAGAAAAGTTACACTATGGTACACATATCACTTACTTTACATATGTGAAAATATAATCCAATATTGTTTAGGAATGATCAATCAAAAGGGTTTCTTACATAGATTAGCTTGTAGACACATATAAAAATCTATTGTTATTTTTGGATAACATCAATCGCATACACACAATAGAAGTGTGTGCATTTAATATAGCTACACAAAACTATCCAAATGTATATACACAGATATATACACAGTGTGCATCAAGAAATGTAACATGTTTTACATACATATGGACATATCTAATCTCTATTAATATTCTATCCATCCATCTATCCATCTACCCATCTATCTACCTACAGTTCACATTTTCAATAAAAAGTCTGTTAGGAAGCAACTAATATCACAAAGTTTCAAAATAACTACAATGTCTTGTTAATATATATTTCCCCCTAAATATAATTTTGTTATTTGTATACTTTTATGTTTGGAGAACTTAATTTTAATGTGTGTTTGAAAAGAAATTGTACTAAAAGTAAAGGGTCAATTTCAATGTAGTAAAAGATAATCAAGCTGTAAACAAGGACAGAAACTGTGAAGTAGGTGCTAATACCTGCAACATATGTGCACAATGATCCGGAAAGGAATTTACTTTTACTGGATAATATCCAGTGCTATCAACACCAAATCAGTGATAGGCAGCTTTCAAAAATAAATCATACAGAGTGACCGTGGGGTACAGTATAAGAATGTTAGACAAATTTGGAATAATTTTTATAGTAATCTTGGAGGCAAAGATAGCAATTACTACTTAGAAGTAGTGCACAGAAAGGTATAGGGTTAATATTTCAAAAATGCATGGCTAAGTATTTCTAAATAATATAACACTTTGTTCTTTATAACTTATTAGTGGTTTATTATTTTAATGAATTGAGATAATAAAAAATAAAAATAGCCTGTTGCTTCTTCTAAATGAATTATCTTGCCATGTATAAAATGAGTTTTGAGAGAAATTATATGTCAGTGAAATTATACATATATGTGCATGCATACATCCACACAATAAATTATTTCAATTAATATTTGTGTGTCAATTTTACAGATACAAAAATGTGTTCGTCTTTAAACGTGATTTTCTGAGACATTCTAATCATTTACCAATGCAGTTCATTTGAGATACCAATTCTATGACACGAATTGAGTTAAATCAAATAATTTAGGTTATCTTTGCTATCATAAGGAAAATTTCATTGAAAGAGCTGAATAAAAAGAACCCTATTTTCTTTCTTTCTATCTATAATTGGACTTGTAGTCAAGGTAACTCTGTTTTCCTATGTGACAGAGAAACTGTATGCTAAAAATGTTAGGATTCATACCATTTTTAGTAACAGCATCACAGTTGGCCCATTTTCTTCCACAATCATTCATCTTTCCTTCACTCAAAACATTTCTCACTTTAAACCAGACAAATTGCTTCCTGTATTTGTAAGGGAGGATTTTTGACACACAGATGTTCTTATTTTCCATTGAGATCAACTTATGCTTTTCAACTCTGCTAATCTGAAAGATCTTTAGCATGAAGTAGGGGTGGGGTGTCCTGTTTACACCTCTGCCTTGGCTCCACTGAATGGCCCTTTAAACATTCCCCAGTGTCCACGCAGTTTTCTAAGTACATGATTGCTGACATCACCTACATTCCAACATTGCAACACTGTACTTCTTTCATAAAAATGCTTGTGTAGTAACTTCCTCTTTTATATTGGCATTCTTAATACAAGTAGCTTTAAATCTGACATCATGTAGTGAGTCTAAAAACAATAAAACCTCAAGAAGGAAGAATGAATAACCTTAATAAATGTATACAACTTATGATGTAATATGTTATCGCTAATACTTTCTGTGGTATTTTTGAAAAAACACTCATCTATTTTTATCTATAATAGCTTATCATCTATCTATCTATCTCTTGTCTATCAATCCATCTATCATTTACCTAGGTTTTATAAGTAAATTTGATCTTGGCAGTACTGGGGTCTGAATACAGTGGCCTCATGCTTACTAGGCAGGCACTCTACCACTTGAGCTACACCTCCAACCCTGCTTTGTGTTGGGTATTTTTGAGATAGGGTCATACAAATTATTTGCCCAAGCTGGCTCTGAACCATAATCCCCCTGATCTCTGCCTCCTGTGTAGCTAGAATTACAAGTGGGAGTGACCAGCACCCAGCCATCAATAAAATATTTTGTACTAGAAAGACACATAGTAAAAATTTAAGAAAGTACCAAGTATTCTGAAACGTGTCATAGAAAATTCCAAATATTGTTATCGTACATAGGTTGCAGATAGTGATACTCTGCTAGCTTAATGATTCCCTCATGCCAGCCCATGCCTCTTGTGTTCAACAGATGAGGGCTTTAAAAAAGTGCATAACACTAATTTTGGAAACAAATATGAAAACTTTAAAGATTTTACAAAGCTTTTGATTCTTAAGAGGTTTCATGGTATTTTAAAACTTACACATTGACTTGTTATTTATCATGTAACCATATTTTTAAGTGATAAAAGTGGTCTGATGAAACTGCTCTGGCATGTATGAATATTTTTTAGACACTGTAATATTCAGCTTCTCATGAAATTACTCATTTCAAATAAAAAATATGACCAACAAAATTGGCCAAAATATGTAAACATTATCTACCTATTTCCAGCAATTTATTCAAAATTTTAGCCTATAAACTTTTAGGCTGACTAACTGACTTAATTAGCTTAAATAATTGAGTGACTTAATTAAATTTTGGGCTTTTTTGTTTAAACTTGACTAAACATTTGAAATGAATTTAGAGAAGTGTCATATTGAATATAAAATATGTAATGCAGTCAGGCACAAAATACTGCTTCTTCACAGATTAATTATAATTAGTACAATGTTGTCAGCCCATACTTTGGTGCAGTATCTTTGTCTAAGATATATTATTTATATTTACTATTTAAAAGTATACTTAGACAAAACTTTTTACTATTAGGTATACTTATTAACATATTTTGTCTTAAATCCATGTATTTAAAACATTTTATTATTTTTGGTTAACAAATCAGAATTCTATGTATTTATGGGTTACAATGTGATATTTAACAATTAAATCAAGGTAAAATGCAGAATGATTAAACCAAGGTAATTTAACATACCAATCATCTTGCACAGCTGTCATTTTTATGGTGAGATATTTGAAGTTTACTCTTATTGAAAAATACAGATTATTGTCTGTAGTCAACCTGCCTTGCAACAGAAATCAAAACCTGTCCCTCTTCTCTATCTGAAACATTGTATCCTTTAATCTACAACTCCCATTCTCCCCTCTTTTCTCCTCCTCCTATCCTAACCTCTGGTAACCATTATTCTTCTCTCTACTTCAACTATTTTAGATTCCACATATAACTGAGATCATGCAGTATTTGTCTTTCTGTGTCTGGCTTATTTTACTTAGCATAAAATTTTTCAGATTCATTCATCTTGTCACAAATGACAAGATCCCTCCCCCTTTTTTAGAGGCAGAACAGTGTTCCACTGTGTACACAGGCTGTGTTTTCTTTATCTATTCATCTGTTAATGGACACCTAGGTTGTTAAATCCATCTGTTTTGTTTGTTTGTTTTTTAGATCCATCTATTTTTAATGGTTGTACTTTGAGATGAATCCCTTGTATGAGAAAATCAATCCTTATTTTTTTAAAGTGCTTTTTATTAGTTAGTCATGGTAGGTCCACACAAGCAAAGTTTTCTCTAGTCCTACAGATTGCAACTTACTACAGAGTTTAGCTTGGTGTGGGTGGAAGAATCACTCAGCTGAAAATCTTCCTAATAGGCTAGTGTCAACACAGTTTTCCTGTAAAACCTAGTTTCTAGGTGGCTGCAGAACCAAAAGGTTTAAAAAACCTGAAGGTGATAGTTCTCCCAGTACTTAGAGGGGCCACTTACTGGCCCCAGACTTGCCTCGAGCAAGGATGATTTGTATCTCTGTGCTTCAGGCTCTAAGCTCAAACCTGTGACCAGTGAAATACATGTTTATATGTGGGTTGGGAAGAAAGAATAGGGAGGGGAGATTTACAGGACACCCTTTAATTTAAAAGCAACATAAAATATTACTTTTTTAAAATGGGTTACAATCTCAAATGTGATCTTGCAGTAATCTATGGAAGTTGTTACCATTGTTTACAAAACAAAGATGCAATGCTGATGTTAACTGTCCTAAAAGTAAAAGGCACTTAAAAGGATTATAGGAATACAGCATCATTATAAGGATTTTTACTCATGCTTAAATTTATTCAGACTTGTCTCATTAGTTCATCATTCTAGTGGAAAAACTGCTTTTGCAGTATGAATTAAATATTCAGAATACAGTCACCCAATAACTTAATTTCCTATCATTCCCTTCTATTTCATTTATATTGCAAAATGGTGTTTCCTTTAGCCCACATGAGGTTTACAAAAGGATAGATTCATATAATCATTTCAGGGCACTATTTTAAAGCAAAATGCATATTTTTAAAAAGAGTACAATTGTTCTAGACTCATGAAACTGAAAGTGGCCTCCAGAGATCACTCAGGCCTCCTATCCTGGTAGTATAACAAGTCATTAATTTCTATGGCTGAAATTACCACAGAGAGGAAACTCAAAGGATAGAATCTGGTTAAGGTTACAAGCCTTCTAAAATTATAAAGAGACCTCTACCAAAAAATTCTACTTTTTCCACATGTAAGCTTATAAACTAATACATGTAATGTTTTGAAAGAGATTCTCTGTAACTACTTTGTTTGCTTATTGCAAAGGTCAATGAAATAACCAACTGCATTTAAGTACTGTTTCTGTGGCTCTACACTAACATAAATTAGAGGGCAGCTGATCAATACCCTCTGGGATCATTTTACCTCATGTAATTAAACATTGCCAAGATGTGAACTGACAGAATCCTTCTTTCAAATGCAGTTTGTCAACCCTTTCTTACCACTACCATTTTCAGTAACTCAGTACTTTTATTGTTGTCCTCAAGTCTCTCTCAAATTTAATCAAGTTCATCCAAAAGCAAAACTGTTGCTATACTTTTTGGCTAATATAAATTGATGTTTTTCTATTTGTTCTATGTTTAGCCTTAACATTGGCGCTCATTAATGTAAAACCCTTGTACAGGGATATACAACAACCTATCCCTCCTTATCAAATGCCCTTTTGAAACCTGCACCTGTGTCTTTTGCTTTTGCCTTAGAACAACAATTAGTGCTGGGATATCAATCCTCTAGGTGGGCACTGGTAACTCATCCTAGCTACTTGGGAGGCTGAGATCAATAGGGAGACCCAATCTCAACCAATAGCTGGATGCCTAGCAGCTGAAATCAGGAGGATTATGGTTCCAGGCCACCCTGGGCAAAAAAGTTTCTGTGAACCAATCTGGATGGACAAAAGCTAGACATGGTGATAACATGCCTGCCATGCCAGCAATGGTGGGAAGCATAAAATAGGTCTAGACTGGACTGGGCAAAAAGTGAGACCTATCTCAAAGATAAACAGAGAAAAAAGGGCTGGACACATGGCTCAAGCTGTAGAGCATCCACCTAGTCGATGTTAAACCCTGAGTTCAAACTCTAGAGACCACTCCAAAAAGAATCCTTTTCTCTCTGTACCTAATGCAGGCTTTCATATTCTTGCTTTCTATAACTTCTCTCTGATCAAAAGATGAATGGTTCAAAACTCTAGCTTCCAAGTAGCCTTAGTAAAAACTTTAAAACTTAGTTTAACATGGTAAGGAGGCTCTTTGGTTCTCTCTCTCTCTCTCTTTTTTTTTTTTATCATTTTTACATTTACTGGTTCTTTACTAATGAAAAACCTAAGGCACTTTATCTTTCATTTTTAATCTTTTATCATTTGAAAAGAATTCATAGTGCCTTAGAAATTTTACTCAGTGTTATAAAACATAACTATTTCAAGGAAGTTCAGTATTTTGAAAATTATTTAAGAAGTCTTGATCCCCTTTTGGAAAAGTCCTGAACATTATTATTTTCACTTGGTAGACAAAACACCTGAAAATTACTGAACATTGCAGAAGTTTTAACAGTCAGAAAAAAAAATTATGTTTCTGAGTATTTTGTCTGTATTAAATGCAAACCTGTATTTGTCTAAATTTGAAAATTTGAACACAGGGCAAAAGGACACTTGGAAAAGAAAGTTTCATACATAATCATGCTATTTATTAAGATGAATTTGAAGAAGTATTAGTCTTGCAGTGTCTATAACAGAAAGAGGCATGATGCTGAAGGTCTTTATGAAGCAAGAAGGGAGTCTGTAAAACAAGTACATGTTCTGGGGTTTATCTAAATCAATCAGTTCAGAAATGATAAAATGCTAGTTTGTTGGAATTATCCACATCAGGCCAAAATACATATAACTCGTTCACAAAAATAATTGTGATTTCTTAATCATGACTAGTTCCAATAAAGTCTCTTTAAATAGTGGAAAATGCAGAATCTCACCCAATATGTGTGGCCTCTGTTCTTCCCTCACCAGTGAATACACATCTTGCTGCGAGAATGTCACCAAAACTAACATCTACTGGGTGTTCCACAGGGTAGAAAGCCTGCCCAGAAGACAAACACAGTGATTCAGTAACATTACCAATAAAACCCAGGACCACATATTTGAATAATGTGAGAACTGGAGCATTGTGGGTGGAAAATGACAGACACACTCAAATAACTGCTGGATTAAAAAGAGTTCACCTTTAATTAATCAGTTCTACTTTATGATATGAGTACCAGACTTCAAAATAAACAAATATTATTTACAAAAGCATCCTATAAAAACAAGAATAAATGTAACAACAGAAGTACTCTCTGAAACACTCTGACAAAATGGTAGGATTGGAAAGACTCCATCAACATGTTTGGATAACACTGAGAGAATTGACAAGAAAAGAACCAAATTGTAAGCTTTAAAAAAAAAAGGTTATACAGCTCAGATACACAATAAGGACAAATTTGGAGGTTTAGATCTTAGAGAAATTAAGAGCTATGCAAGGATTTTTAAAAATTACTTTCTGGTGATTAACATTTTTTTCCTCTAAAATTAAGTTAGATTCTACATACCTGTGGTAGCTGGGGGCTCTGGCGTCCAATCATTGTCCACTGTCCATTTCTCACTCTGTATCCACTTACTACCTTACCTTAATGAACACAAATAATGATCATGTAATAAGATATTTTTTAAAAGGTGTATGTAATTTCCTTTTAAAAGTAAAATATGAACATTTTCAGAACTCAAAATACTGAGCATCTTAAATAGATGAAATGGAACAAAAATTCAAGGTACTGTGTAGAATTACTTTCACTGTAAAAGATTCAAGGTTAAGCATCATTTACATTTTACATTTATAGTACTTGTAAGCACCAGGGTAAATATTCATAATTTAAGGTGTTGTTGAAGATTCTTACCTAAATGGTGAGTGTGAACTCTATAGGCAAAGACATTCATTGGATATGTTTTATAATGGCATGAAATATCAGAATTCACCACTGTCGGAAATAGAAACAGAGAGAGAAGTAATTATTCAACTGGAAAATGACATTTTCCTTGTCTACAAGTATTCATGGGATACTCACAAAATGCTAGGCACTGGGGTTTTCTTATGAAATAGATACACACTCACACAATACTTAGCAGACAAGTGTTTACTCTGTCAGCCATTTTTCTAACATGAATAAAGAACCTCTTGCCTCATATTTTAATTTTATTCATAAAAATGATTAGGGCTAAATCAGTAAAAATACAGGTATAATTTGTTATCTTTATCTTGAAATTCATCCAGTTGCAAAAGCTTAAAAATTGTTTTTTATTTTGGGAACAAAAGAATTTTTGAAAAATTGAATAAAACACCCAAAATCACTAGATTGACAGTTCCTGTTGAGAAGGAACCGTTTCATATACTTCTTTCTTTCAGTCTAATGCATAGTAGTTATTTGATAAATGTTCTTTTATAATAAGTAAAAGAACAGTAACAAAGAAACCATACTGATCATTAACTTAGAAGATTCCCAGCCAAAACAAACAAACAATATTTAATGTGACACTTTCCTTAGAGGATTTTAAATGCACTGATGAATAGTATCATACTTGTTCTCAGCTTTCTTTCAGATTAGGAGAACCATTTTGCAAGTAGGGAAATGAGTATACCTGAGTTCAAAGAATGAGTTGGTGTTGGATTTGCTAGCCCCTTGATTTTGAACATTTCCATGCAGGAAATCGCACATTATGCAGTTTATCTTCTGTGTCTAGAGAATGGGTGAATGTCTATAAAATAATTGAGACTTATTCTTTCATTTATATAACCCACTATCTACTCATGGAATGCCATTTTTAGTATCTCAATAAATAAAGACTGGAAAACTAATAAATCATTGGATTAGAATAATATAATAATCTATTTTAAATCCAATGACACTAAAGAATTGGTTGTATTTTCAGATACAAATATTGGTCATTCTATGACACTATAAAAGATACCATGTAAATCCCTCTTAGAGATTAGTTAATGAGGTAATGATAAACACTATGACATCACTTACCTTTCTCTCCTGCTGGTATAACAGTGTCAACAGACATCATAAGGTACATGCCAGCAATTAAAGGCTGTCTGCAGAGAAAAGTAATATTTTTCTCAGTGATGTGGCAAAGCCAAACCTATTTTTCTTTGAAAACTAGCATATATCTCAAGGCATTGGTTTACGAAATGTGATTCTTCTGAATATTAAAATACAACAAAACGGGAAAGGAGGTAGAATACATTACATAGGAGTTTTTCTTTAAAAAATGACATTTATTCTTGTGAAGGAAGTCTGTAAATGGTTTCTGAAATGGCTATTTTTATGTGTCAACTTGGACAGACTATTAGACTATGATGCCTGATCGATGGGTCAAACACCAGTCTAGGTATTCCTGGGAAAGTACTTTTATTTCTTGTTTTGATGTGACTAACATTTAAATCAGATTTTGAATAAAGCAAATTGTTCTCCATAATGTAGGCAGTTCTCATCTAGTGAGTTAAATGCCTCAAAAAAAAAAAAAAAAGGTACAAACTGCCTTTGTACCTAAGAATGAAACAACGCCAGCTCTTCCCTCAATTTCCAGTTGGCCCTACAGATTTTGGACTTGTCAGTCTACATAAGAGCATGAGCTAATTCCTTAAAGTATCTACCCTTTCCCTCTGTCTCTTTTCCTCTTGTTCTCCCCACCCCCTTCCTTAATTCATGTTTGTTTGGGACATCACAACTAATGCAACCATCATGATTCCTAGCTGTGACATTCATGCCCCATGCCCTTGTCTAATCCTCTCTCCTTGTGTAGTGTGAACAAATAAAAGTGTATCAGCTCATTTCTAACAAACAGAATGTGGTAAGTGTGATGGTATGTCACTTCTAAAATTAGCTTACAAAAGAGACATTTCTCATATCAACTTTGCTTGCTTTTTATTTTTTTTCTATTTTCTGTGATTGAGGCCAGCTGCCAGATTAGCTGTATTAGTTAATGTCAATATGGGGAATAAATGAAGGAGACTCTCAGCCAACAGTGGTAAAGAAATGAATCCTGTGAGCAAACATGCGAGTGACTGAAGTGGTTCTTCCACAGTCTAGTCTACAGATGACTGAAGCCCCAATGAAGATCTGACTGAAACCATTGTGTAATGTACCTGACTAGACTCCTGGCCAACAGGAAACTGAAATAATCAATATTCATTGTTTTAAGCCAGCATATGGATTAATTTGTCTTTCACAATGCATAACCAAAACAGTGAATTTCCCATTTTTAAATTCTCAAGATCTTAAAATTCTTGCTCATCTGGAAAAACTGGAGGTACTTACGGCAGGCGTGTGAGATGTAAGGACACACCAGAACAGTCCTTGTGATTATCTGAAAACACACAAATATATCTTAAATATGAAAATGTGGAAATGTAAATTTTAAAGAATAATCCTTAGAAATCAAATTATTGCATTTGCTTTATGGATTACAGAGTACTTTGAAATTCATGAATTCCTTTCATTGCCAATGCACCACAAGACCAACAGAATTACTGTTTCATGCAGTTTGGGGTACAGCTTGGGTCATCCAGCCCATCAGTTACGGGCTTTCCTGCAGATGTACTAGACAGTAAGAATGAGTTCACAGAACAAAGTTGCTGCTACTTTTTCTTAATTATTTTTATTGCTGGAGCAAACAGAAAAATTGGTGAACTGAATGGTTTGTCGGGGACACCCAACAAGTGGGTTTTCAACTTTTTAAAAATTGAAGCAGTCCATAATTTGGGTACTGTATTAACATTTGTCATCTGTAACCCCTCAAATTGATGGACAGGAACCAACCTGTCTGCATTCTAAGCCATGCTCATTCCTACTTTCCAAGAGGAACCTGATTCTAATTCTTCTTATACCTTACCTTTAGCTGAAAGCCTCTGAATATCATCTCTTATCTTTTTCAACACTGTGGAGACCTTTTAAAAACCCTCTTTCCCTTTTTGATCTGCCTTTCCCAAGAGCAAACAAGTTATAAATTCAAAATACTCATCTAACTTCTTTCTATTGAACTTGCTGACCTTCTATGACAGAGACCACTTCCTCATCCCTTGTATTTCTGTACAGGTTGAGTTCATCCCTTGTATTTCTGTACAGGTTGAGTTTTTCCTACTTCACATTTTATTCTAAGCAATTATAAATGTTTACATCTCAATTTTGAGAGTTTGTTGTTATGTAAATAATTATTGCATATAATCAAGGTTGATCTATTTCTATTAGAAATGAAGAAGTATGTCAATGAACAATAGCCAGTGGAATGGAGTTTCAAAGGATTTTTGTTGTTGTTCAGCTGTTATTTTCAAGAGAAAAGCAAAGGTAGCTTCATATAGAAATGGAAAATAATAGGCAAATAAGAAGATATGCTTTGATTTACATTAGCTAAAGCTAAGAGAGAAAGTATAACAAATCATATTTAATACATTGAGAATAAAATACCAAGGACATTTCTCTGTGTATTATTGTTTGATCTTAAAATAACAGTTCAGAATAAACTCAAAATAGACATTGTATTTTAATCATTTTTTTCTTTTTAATTTCACAAAAGGATCTCTGTTCAATCCCCTAAATCAACTTCTGGGAGGTGCTATTTTCATAGCTTATCTTTTAAATATAGAAGGATAACTGAGTATAGTTCCTTAGTGCATTTTATAAGAACAGTTATTTTTGAGAGCAGGCACTTTTTTTTTTTTTTTTTTGGTGGTACTGGGGTTTGAACTGTGGGCTTGTACTTGCTAGGCATGTGCTCTACCATTTGAGCCACACCTGGAGTCCTTTTTGTTTTCATTAATTTTTCAGATAGATGGCATTTTTGCCTGTGGCTAGCCTCAGACTGTGATCCTCCTACTTTTGCCTTCTGTGTATGCTAAGATTACAGGCCTATACTACTATGCTCAGCTTGTTTTTAGATATAGGGTCTTAGTAACTTTTTTTGACTAGCTGACCTCCACCTGCAATCTTCCCATTTATACCCATGCATAGTTGGGATTATAAGTATGAGTCATCACACCCAGCAAGAACAGGCTTTCTTAAATATATTGCATGCAATTTAATAAGGATGCCTAGCCTATACTAGTTTAAATGATCAGTTGGTGGTCTTACTGAAAAACACTTAAATACGTTCATTGATCAAAAAAAAAAAAAATGATGGGAAGAATGCCATTCATTCCTAACAAACTTCAGGGACTCATTAGCTTAGTTAATTGCAGGAAACATCTTTCCTGTATATAAAAAAAAATCATGCCCATTTTGTAAATTTATTTTGAGAAATGAGAATTATCTATTTATTTAATTAATACTTATTAAGCAATGAGTATAATCCAGGCACTGTGCTGCACCGGTTTCCTGCTCTCACAGTGCTTATGTTCTCTAATTGGACTGGTGGGCAGGAGAGTTAGAGAAAAAGAAAACACCAAACGTATAACCAAGAAAGCATCACATGATGTATTCAGTAAGATAATGTGACAGTAGGCCTCTATTTTATCTACTGTGGTCACAGAAGAACCACATGTGAGCAGAGACCTGAATGAAATGGGATCACCACAAGATCTTGGGATGAACATTCTAGGTAGAAGGAAGAACTAAGGGCTCAAGAGCTGAGTAGGCCTGTAGGACAGCAGGGCCAGTATGGAAGAAGCACAGCACATAAAGGTGTGGGGTGGCAGTGAAGCTGGCAATTCAGAGTCTAGTCTACACAGAGTGGGTTTACTCTGTGTACAAAGAAGCCAGGATCAAATACAGCGTCAGTAGCACAGAACCGGGTACTTACATATCACTTACTAGCTACAGAGTGTCAATTTTTATAGTTGTTTTGTTTTTTTGTTTTTGTTTGTTTGTTTTTGCAGTGTTGGGAATTGAACTCAAGTTCTTACACAAGCTAGGCAAGTGTTTTACCACTGAGTTACAGTCCCAGCCCAGTGTTTTTTTTTTAATTTTAATTACATGGTAGCAGGGGAGTGGTTCCTCTATTCAACACACATCCAAGCAAAAGGCTTAACACAATTTTTTATTTTAATTACATCTTTCCACTGAAAGAATCAAGTGAATTGTATTTTGATTTCTATTTTACAACTTGGCTGACCATTCTATATCATGATTTTAAAAAAATCATCATATGGGAGAAATTAATAAATAAATTAACACATTTAAGGAACTATTGAAGAAATTCATGATTAAAGCTAAAATCTGCCACCACTTTAAGACTAGCAGGAATGTTACTGACAGCATCATGCCAGGTAGCTGTTGCCAAGTGTAAAAAAACAATGCATCTTCCCACTGGGCAGTATTTATTAGAAGTGTCTAGAGTGAGTAATTACTCTCAAAGAAAATTAGTTGAAAAATAAAGATAGCTATAATCCTTGCATCAGAGTTTTCTCCAAATTAAATTTTAGCCATTTCTATGTAATTGTTGTCTATTTGCTTCCCCTTTTAGAATTCTGAAGGTGAGTCACAGCTTCACCAATCACTATACTGCACAGATACAGCCCTGACTTTTTTCTTTTATTACTATATATTTATAAACAACATGTCCTATACTAAAGAAAATTGAAGACATTGAACAATGAACACAAAATAGTTTTAAAAAACTCCACATTGTAATATAAGATGATTTACACAATCTAGAGAAAAATAGTGATCTTTTGCACTTATGTACTGTAATGACTTATTGGAAAACTTCAACTTTAGTGAAATCAGTGAATTTTAAGTTTTGTCTTAGAGAATGCAAATTTCATGTGGGATTGGGCTGGTAATAAAATAGATCCAAAGTAAAAATCTTGCCTGTTTTAAAAAAAGCTCCAGAGATCAAAATATACAGAAAAAAAATTAGCAAAGAGATACACCTCAAAATCATACTACGTGGTTTCTAATTAATGGCCAAAGGAAAATATTTCCATCGAAGTTTATCTGGTTAATTTTATTCATTGATTCAAAGAATTTCTGAATATTGTGGTATGCCTGTGTGTGTCTAAGTGTGTACCTAAGGTTTTAAATTATGGATAATGCTAGAATATCCATCATTAACTCCAAGGAAGTAGAATTACAATTGTGTGACTTAAAAATTGCTTTATATATTAGATTAATATATGATTTAATAACATTATTTTAGTTGAAAAAACTTTGAAAGTTATCACAAACTAAATGCTTTTAAAGCATATATACATATATTTTAGGGATGACTGAAATCTATTTCTATTTATATACTCACATTTCAAAATCGAGCTTTACTATTTATTGTAAGTGATTCTGACCCTCTTCTACTAATCTTTCTACAGATTGACCTTAACGCCCCGCATGCCTGCATTTACACACTAGTGGTAACAATTTGAACTCCATCAAACAGGGTAGTCTCAGGGTGGGGCGTACTCCTGGATCCACAGCTGCTCCCACTGCAGGTGGCAGCTTTGGTGGGAAGCATTTTTCAGCCTCACTGTGGGGTAAAGATGATAACCTTTTAACTCCAACATGATCCTTGCTACAGTGATGCATTATTATTTTCATAATAATAATGAAGTTTCTGGTGAACTCAGAAACTTCAGCTAGTTTACAAATTTCACTGATGAACTGCAGTGTGCCCTGACTTTGTCTGCCTTTCTGTTTTAATGCAGTGCTTGGAACACAAGATATGAAACCTCGCAAGAATTAACTCATCTCAATTCACTAGGCTATATACAAAATCTGTTTCTAACATGCATCATCATAAAAATTCATGGTACTTGTGTATGGAGCAGCAGAATCAATATTGTGAAAATGTTTATAATACCAAAAGCGATCTATATGTTCAATGCAATCCCAACCAAAATTTGAGTGACATTCTCCACTGAGATAGAAAAGTAGATCTTAAAGTTCATATGGAAGCACAAAAGACCACAAATAGCCAAAACAATCCTGAGTCAAAAGAGCAACACTGGAGGCATCACAACACCTGACTTAAAACTATACCACAGAGTCATAGTACTAAAACAGCATGGTACTGGCACAAAAACAGACACAAAGACCAATGGAATAGAATAGAAGACCCTGACACAAACCCACCCAACTAAGCCATCTGATTTTTGACAAAGGTGCCCAAAATATGTGCCGGAGAAAAGACAGCCTCTTCAACAAAAAGCATTGGGAAAACTGGATTTCTACCTGCAGAAGACTGAAACTAGATCCCAGTCTCTCACCTTGTACTAGCATCAATTCAAAATGGATTAAAGATCTTAATGTAAGATCTGAAACAGTGAAATTAATCCAGGAAAAAATAGGGAACACCCTGGACCACATAGGCATAGGTAATAACTTTATGAATAGAACACCAATAGCTCAGCAGTTAAGAGAAAGTATTGACAAATGGGACTACATGAAAATAAAAAGCTTCTGCACAGCAAAGGAAAAGTCACCAGACTGAAGATATAGCCTACAGAACT